CCCCTCGCCCTCCCCATCCGCGTCGTCCTCGCGGGCCGGGGGGTGCTCACGCTGCGGACGCCCTGCCTCTACCCCCCGCCCGAGTTCCTCCGGCGCGTCGAGGTTCGCAGCGCGCGGCACTACCCCCGCGCCCTCGACGGCGCGATCGCCGAGGACGGGCTCTGCCTCCGCGTCCTCGAGCGGGGGACGGCCGCCGACGACGCGCGCGCCGGCCGGCCCGCCGCCAACGCGAACGAGCGCCGCCTGCTCGACGCCCTGCGCGGGGTCTTCGGGCTCCGCCCGCGGGCCGCCCTCGCCGCCACCCTCGCCACCCTCGACGGCATCAAACTCCTCCTGACCGCGCAGCGGGTGCTGCTCGGCTCCGTCAGCCCCTCGGAGGACCACCGCGAGCTCATCGCGCGCGATTTCGGCTGCGCCGTCGAGCAGACCATCCGCCGGCGCTATGAATTCCTCTTCTCCCACGCGGCCCCCGGGGGCGGCGTCGGCCCCCGCCACCCCCTGCGCCGTCTGCTCGACCACCGGGTCCCTTTCGGCGAGGTCGTGCTGGATGTTTTGGCCCACCCCAAGGGAACCCGCGCCTTTCCCTGCGATTTCACCGCGCTCTCGGACCCTGACGGGGCGGCCGGCCCGATCGACGCCATGCAGGTTAAGCGCTGGATTGCCGAGGCGCTCCATTTCTATCTCGATCTCGGCGGCGGGGTTCAGGAGCTGCGCTCGGTTTTCGCCGATTGGGCGGCCTTGACCCAATCCTCCTTCGGCCATATACACTTGATTCTCCAACTCAAACAACGCCTAATGCTCCCTATGGATACCCTGGAAAAGCTTCTGGTTTGCTGTTCACGGGAGTCGCACAACGCCGATGACAAGAGTTGCTACAGACACCACATGTTGGGTAATGATTAACTATCGCTTATCCTTCATTAACTTGCCTTTCCTGCCCGGGTTGTAGAGCGTCTGGGTTTCGTGAATTCGCTCGGGATGGATCGGCATGAAATTTGAGAGAGCGATCTCTCTAATTGAATGAATCACTCGATTTATGTACAAGCGATTCCATTCACTTATTTATGACTAGACGTAGATAATTAATGAAAACATTAATTTTAACATTTAGGTTGAGTGTAACTGTCAGGGAATCCTTTAATTGAGCCTATTCCGTTTCCCTCTCGGGTATTACTTCTCTCAGCGTGAACCACCTATCAAATTGTTTGGAGTTGGATCCTTTTTTTTTTCTCTCTTTTAGGAATCACAAAATTAGAAACCACAACAAGTCGCCGTAGGTCGTCTTTAAAATTCTTTCCAAATAGGATTTATTTCAATCAGCGAAGCAGCGTAAGCGTTAAAACCCCTCAAGGCAATGTCAGACGATCAGCTGATTATGTTTGATGTGAAAGGTGCCATTCGCATGTTCGACCCTGAAAAGTTCGAAGAGCTAGTGAAATGCATAGATACCGAAAAAGAATATGTTGATAAGATGGGCTCGTTTTGTAAAATGGTGAATCAAACAATGGGAATTGTCAAAAAACTGGCGGATGCGATTCAATCCGAAAAGCTCAAGGCCATCGGATTCCGCAATATCGTAGAAAGCGAGGCCGAGGAACGGTTTCGCGCCGTTCAGGAATCCGAGCAGCGACTGGGGGAGAAGCAAATGGAGCTCGACCGCTACGTGGCGGAGTATGAATCCCTACGAAAAGTCGAGGCTGAACAACGGATAACAATTCAACGTCTGAGCGAGAATTTTGATTAAGATGCTCGACGTTAGGAAAGGAGAAAAACAAGCTATCCATTGTTCACATTGATGGTGTGAGGGATGGCCCATTGGGTGAATGCTAGGTGAAATTAATTCTTTCATGAATATCGGTGTCATAATGGGAAATATATATATTGATATATATATATATATATTATATAATGTATAATAGATTCTAATGTGTCTAGACGCCTGGCGTGTGAGCTCTGTGGTATCTTTGCAAGTGTTTTTTTTTTTTACCAAAGACACATGACAAAGAATCTTTTATTCCTGTTAGCTTCAAATCGGCTAGGGAATTCACCAACCTTGCATCAAAAATCTATTCATCCAATCACCAATTCCTCCTCGCGATTTCCCAGGACTCCAATATTTGTTCACCTTTTTATTGCATTAACACTGTCTTAAGAGTTTTCCACGCCACGATTTGCGTTCCTTTTTCTTTCTCTTCAGTTTCCTCTTATTCAGCTGATTGCTCTAGATTTTTTTATTTTTTCACAATCGCAACACTATCGAAACCATGGTATTAAAACCATTGCGTGGTTGGATCCATAAGCACTTGTTCTTATCCGCTTTCATAGTGCGAATGGTTTTAATATTTTACTCATCCCTTCATGATGAATATTTCCGCGTTAAATATACCGATATCGATTATATGATTTTGATGGATGGTGCCCGCGCGATCGTCGACGCACGCAAATGCCCGTTCGAGCGCACCACATATCGCTATACGCCACTGCTTGCGCTCCTCATGGTGCCCTCCGTGCTGTGGCTCGACGCCTTTGGCAAACTACTCTTCACCATGTGTGATTTAGGTGTGCTGTACCTCTGCGAACGCCTTCTGAATCATTATTCCGATTCAGCCTATAAGCGTCGGCTGCTTGAGATTTTCATCGCCTTCAACCCGGTTGTCCTAAACATCTCAACCCGCGGCAATAGCGACATGCTGATGACGCTTATTAACCTCATCGCGATGACTTTGTATGATCGTCGTCAGTATTACGCAGCCGCCGGTGTGCTTGGGTTCGGCGCACACTTCAAGATCTTTCCCATTATTTATGTGCCGTCTTTAGTGTTTGGGATCTGGCAAGACATCACCAACGCGCAGACAAAGCACCCAGGCTCCAGTGCCCGATCTTTCCACCAACGACTACGGAAAACCACAAAGATCGCGCTGATTTCGGGTATCAGCTTTTTGGCTTGTTTTGCCATCCCAACGGGCATCAGCTACTTCTTTTGCGGGAAGGTCTACATCCAAGAGGCCCTTTTGTACCACTTCCACCGGGAGGATCATCGGCATAACTTTTCACCTTACTGGTTCCTCATTTACTTAAACATGGCAGCGCGCGGGATGGGCTACGAGCAGCAATTCTCGCCTGGACTGTGGGCCTTCTTTCCGCAGGCCGTGGTACTGCTCCTCACCTCGTGGCGGCTTCGGCGGAACATCCCACAAGCGTGCTGTACGGTGACCATCCTATTTATTGCCTTCAATAAGGTATGCACGGTGCAGTATTTTGTCTGGTTTATCCCACTTTTGCCGTTTGTGTTTATGCAGAATTCGATGCCCTTTCCCGCATCCATAAAATCCGTGGCAAATGACAAAGCCTCACGCGAAGGATGGCCAGGAAATTCAAAAGGAAAGGGGAAACGCAATTTCTATAGGGTCCCCTCCCTTAAAACCATAATCGCCGTCTTGATGTTGTGGACCAGCACCATCCCGCTCTGGGTGTTCACCACGTACCCTCTTGAATTTCAGGGGAAAAATCATTACTGGCGCGTGTGGATCGCGTCTGGCGTGTTTTTTCTCTCAACCACATTGCTCGGTGGCTGGGTAGGACGGATCTCTTACCTTTCTCAGCAAAACCAACTTCATTTCCCCCATATCGCTAAGCCGTACAGTGGCAACATTTCATGGAAAAACACTAAGAAACCCTAATTAGATAGAGCTTGGCTTACCAATAAAACGTAGAGGAGGAAGGAGCCACTGCGGCGACATGCCTTATGGGCCCTGTCCAACTCGGAAAGTCCAATATTCGCGTACCATTTCCCTTTTTCAAAATGCAAATGCCGATGAGGAGATGGTTTTGCTTACTAAAGCATCATTGAGTCTGTCATCGATTGTGTCATTATATATATCCGTTAAATACCAAACTCTGGCTGGGGTCTAATAACTATCCCCATTCCATGTCCCTTCCCACTCTGACTCCATATCTCCCCCCCCCACACACACACAACC